GCTGTCCTTGAGGCTGAGGTAGTAGATTGAATAGTTGTGGAGTCCTACCCTCCCTTTGAGCTAACTATACAATCTACTGTCTTTCCTAAGGAGACAGTCAGGTCATCAGCTCTGGTCACACCAACCGTGTCAACGCCACGCATGGAGCTTCACCTGGTCTTGAGCCTGGTGTCGTGGACCGTTACCTCCTTGTGCTAGGCTGGTGCTGTGGCTGTGGAGTATGCGAGTTCTCTGTATTGCTCTGTGGAGGTGAGGTAGTAGGTTGTATAGTTTGGTGGGAGGGATTTCATCCCATTTCAGGTGATAACTATACAGTCTATTGCCTTCCTTGAAGAGCAGCAAAACCACCTGAGAAACAGCTCAGCCACACAGATCCAGAGACATCGGTTCTTGCCAACAAGGGATTCACACTACGATATGAAATTCCTGGGCAGCTTCTCGATGTGCTTCTCCTGTGGAATCTGGGGTCTTGCAACGCTAGGCTTATCACCGATCTCTGTGCCCCAGTCATGTGAACAGGACACCATCTGCTTCAATTAATCTCTGTCCATCTGTTTCAAAGATAGAAGGTGCCCAAGAAGCTAAAGCATGGGGTTAGGAGGTGCATGAATGCTTGATGGAGCTGTCAGATGCATCATCCTTCTCAAAAGGAGAAGCCCAAATTCTGAAGGATTTGGATCCTGGATCAAACCCTTTTCTCCCAGAGTTTTGGGGTGCTTGGATGAACTGTGTCCTTTTCCACATTCCTTATAGAAACAGGGCTGTGGAGACGGGGAATCAGGACTGGACCCAACGTTCGGTTTAGAAATGGGCTTCTAGTTTGGGTCCTTGACTGTTTTGACTAAGCAACACCGCCTCAAAGGGGTGAATCCAAATCTTTCAGGGCTCATCAGACCAGGCAGCCACTCAGAGCTGATAGCGAAAGTACTGCAGGATGAGATGCCTGAGGGCTCGTGTACCTTCCAGGATAGCTTACTAAAATGCACTGCCACTTTGCCTAGACCCTCATCACTCCAGAGACTGGGTCAAAGGCAGGTACATGTTGCAGCAGCTGGCGATAATAGATCAGACCTGTTATTCTGGAGGGCTGCTTTCTAATCCCCAAATCCAGCTCTTTGACAAAGCTGCATGCCCTTGTGACATGCAATTGCAGCTTCTTTCTTTCACAGGGGTTATATACCAATTAGCTACATGCTTTATCTGGCTGCAAGGCTCCCATTCAAACAGTGCATGAAAGGCATCAAAATACCAGCACAGGTGATAAGGTGACACAGCTGTTTCTTATTTAAGGAGCATCTCTTGTTTGGGGCTTAATTTCCAGTATCCTGTGTCAAGTGAATAAGGCTATGTGCTTTTTCCCTGTATGAATGCAATGGCATCCTAATCACTGAGAGTGGATTTTGTGCCATGAATAAACTGCTGGTGGGGAAAACGGCCTCTGGGAAATAAACTCTGTCCTTTTTTTAATAGAGTGTCATGTTATTGCCTTGAAACCACCATTCTGGGGAAGGCCCTTCTCGGGTGAAAGTTTGAATCCTGCTAAAAAAATATGAATGCAGGTTTTTGCTTCCATACCCCACGTTTTTAACCTGCTCTAATTATTTGGCATTAAAAGAAAAAAAAATACAATCTGCCCATCATATATGATCTAAGAGCAGGCTTGGGCAACCCGTCACATATTGCAGGTAGGCAACATAAACAGCCCCGCGGGCTGGTGTTGGTTCCAGAGTACTCACAAAATCCCCATGGTTTGTGCCTCTGGAAATCCAGAACATGGGGACAAAAAGGCAAATGGGTCCACTAGTTTGTTTGCAATGAGTAACTTGATACACTGGGGGGAAATTGGTACCAAAGAGTTTGTAGGACCTGGGCCTTGTTGCCACTTAGGATTTGCTCCAGGTGCAGCCATCAGCGTAGGACAAATCCCAAAGGTGGGTGTTATAGCCAGGACCATGCCAAGGCAGAGTAAAGCACATCCTGCGGGGGTTAAGCTGTCTGTATAAGAGCTATGCTTAAAGTAACCGCCCACGGCTGGCTGGACTTGGCATATTCTGTCGAGATGCAAAAGAGCAGGTCTGTGATTTCCATGCTGAATGGGTTGTGTGCCCGCTCTCTCTTCACGCCTTGGCACCTGCCAATTTGCTGGGTCTGATCAGTCTCCAGGCACCTCGGCTGAGCAGAGAGGACCTGCTGACAGGATGCATGAAGGTTTCTCCTCTGGTGCTGTGTTGCGGGCAGCTGGCTTCCTATTGACGGTCACCATAGCGAGCTCTGTAACCCCAGAAACGCACCGTGCCATTCCCTGGAGCCTTTTCCTGTGTGAAGAGCATGTAATGCAGAGGCTTGCTGAGCCCCAGAGAGTGCGGGAGGAGGGGGGCGGAGGGCTGGAGCTGGCCCATGCCCACCACTAACAAAAGGGTTTGTGTTCTAAAAAGCTCCAGCTGCCATAGCAACATGGCTGAGGGAAAAAGAGGCCAAACTGCCCCATTCTCCAGCCCGCAGTGCAACTTGGCAAGCCGAATGCCAGCAAAGAGGAGCAATTAGTACCCAGGAGCAGGGGAGCGTGAGGCGGCGTGTTCAGCA